TGCTGAAAAGGGACGCTGTGGGTTTCAGGGTGAAGATCTTCTCTCACTACTCTAAAGGGCCCCTTTGGCAGTAGGAAACACATAGACTATTACGGAGATTGATTTTGGAATGAATCAGGCACATCTTAATATTGAAACGAACACTCTTGCTCCTTTGTATTTTAGAGAGGTCCTTGAAAGGCTTCCCAGTGCAATATGTCTTGATTTCTGGACTGCTGGTACCAAGGGTGATGATTATAGATCTAAATAACATGAAATCATTGATAATTTCACTCTTCATCTATCATGACGCTGCCTACAGGCCCAGTAACAGTTTTTATCTTCTTGATGTATAATCCCTATAGAAGGCTGTAGTCTTTAATCTGCAGCAAATGCCTTAAGTCCTCACTTTCAGTAAGCAAGGTTGTGCCATCTGCATAATGTCGGTTGTTGATGAGTCTTTCTATGATCCTGATACCACATTTTTCTTCATAGTCTGGCTTTTTGAATGATTTGCTCAGCATACAGCTTGTCTAGGTATGGAGAAAGGACACATCTCTGACACACACCTTTCTTAATTTGAAACCATGGTCTAGGTATGTTGTTGGTTTGTGCCATCAAGTCAAAGCGCACCAAAGCGCTCCAGTGGGTTTTCAGAGGTGGTAAATCACAGGGAAGGAGATTGCCCCTTCTTCTCCAGCGGAGCAGCTGGTGGATTCAAACTGCATGCTTTTGGGGTTGCAGTGCAACTTCTTACAACTAGGGAACCAGAGCTCCTGGTCTGGGTTTGTTGTTGTTGTTGTTGTTGTTGTTGTTGTTGTTGTTGTCTATCAAGAGCTCTTGTCTAGATAGAGGCTTCATAATTATGCCCCTAGAATATCCTTTATTATGCACAAACAGTATTCTCTTTCGATGTGTGTCTTTAACTGTCTTTGAGTTGGAGCTGATTCTTAGCTGACCCTCCAGCAGAGTTTCAGAGCCTGAAAATCACTAGGGCAGAGATTGCTTACCTTTATTCTGTGAAGGAGACGGTGGATTCTAACTCCCTGCCTTTGGATTGGTAGCACAGCTCCTTACCATTATGCCATCAGAGCTCCCTCACAAAATAGTGTTGTTATGCACCATTGAATCAGAACTGGCTCATAGCTGACCCTCCAGTGAGTTTCCCGAGGCTGTAGATCACACGGGAGGAGATCGCTCTCCTTTCTCCTACAGCGTGGCTGGTGGATTCGAACTGCATGCCTTTGGGTTGGCAGTCCAACTCCTTACCACTCGGCCACCAGAGGAACCCCAGAAGAACAAAAGGCCCGACTCGTGTGCATTTCCATGCTCCACTGACGCGGGCTAGAGGGAACTCACCTGGTTCTCATGTCACCTCTTTTCACCCTCCTTCCTGTGTCAATATCCTGTGTCTCTGATAAGACATAGTATGGTTTTGTTGTCCACATCAAAGGTCTCTCACATCAGAGAGAACCCACAAGCAGGCATGTAAGCGCTCCCAGTGAACACTTTACTGCGAGAGGAAATGTTAATACGGTAAATTATATACATTTTCCTTTAGGGGGCACCCATCTGGGGTCCTGGGAGGAGGAGGCTGGCTGGCCTTGACCTCTTTCTACTGTTGTGCCTTTTACACAGTGTGCTGAGAAAACTCCTTTTCTTCACTTTGACAACTGCAATGTTACTGGCATTTTCCTCCTACAGCAAGTGAAGGCTGCTCCCCTGCAGGGCAGGGCTGCCTCTGAGTGTCCCCAGGAGATGAGAAGAGCTGCATAACTCTCAGCCTTCAACGAGGTCACTGCGAGTTGTACTTGACTTCTCAGAACCTAACAACAACATTGTTGTCTTTTTCTCTGATAAATCTATTGATATTCACTATTAATGGAAAGAGAATAAAGGTAAACAGGGACTGGGCCAGGATGCCCACGTCACCACTCCTATTCAGAATCATATTGCACGTGATAGAACAACAGGCAGGAGGACGCAGTAAGAAGTAGTCACATTGGCAAAGAGGAATTAAACTGCATCATAATGATTTAAGAATAACATTGAGAAGAATGGAAATTCCACAAGAATTAATCCAGTTAAAGAGGAACCTGCACGTAGGTTGTTGTTAGGCACTGCCGAGTCAGAACCGGCTTTTGATTGACCCCCCCCCCCAGCAGGCTTTCGGGGGCTGTAAATGGCATAGGAGAAGACTGCCCCTCTTGCATCCAGAGAGCAGCTGGTGAATCCGAACTGCCTGACTTGAGGTTGGCAGTGCAACTCCTTACCCACTAGGTCACCAAAGCTTCCTGTACTCAACTGTATCCTAAGCAAATAACTGAAAACACTGGATTATAATGAGCTAGGAACTAAGAAGGTAAAGAGAAAAGCCAAAAGAACAGATTTATGTTACCTAAAACACTAGGGAAATAAGTAAGAGGGAACGAATCTATGGAATCTGCTCTCTCCCTCTCTTGTTCTCTCTCTCTCTCTCTCTTTGTTGCTCTCTCTCTTTCTCTCTCTCTCACACACACACACACACTCACACACTCTCGCCCCTTCCCAGTGCTGTGGTCTACGTGCGTACATTGGCTGCACACACCGAGCTGAGCATTCCTAGAACATAAACAAAGAGGAGAAACAGCAAGGGTCTGACATCAAAAGGGAATTGTCTTAACATCTAAGGGACATTGTTTTCACATCTAAGGTGTTTTCAGAAGACAAAACTGGATGAAACATGTAGAAGCAGCAATGAATCTGTTTAAGCCAGGGTGTCCCAAGATAGAGGTGTTTTGTTTTGGGTTGTGTTTTTTTGGTATTTTTTTAAAGTGCAGGATCCAAACCAGAAGCCAGAGTGACCTAACATATGTCAACACCCTATTAAAAGTTTTGCAACCGTCTCCCAGACTCCTTTGCACCACTTCCATCTTGAAGTTGTGTGCACGCACAGAAAACGAAGCTGTGGGAACATCGTCCTCCTGTAGAACGCAGGGTCCTCCCCGTGAGAAGCAACCCTAGTAGACAAGCTCTGACTGAATGTTTGCCGCCCAGGGAGACATACTTGCACTCTTCTCAAGTCCCGTGCAGTCTCCTCCTGCAGGATTGGATTTTTCTGTCATAAATCTAGGTGAGGAAGACGTGGGCAGTCTACCCTCATGTAATCTGCAGCATCTGAAAACCTGCTGGAGGGTCCTGTACGAGTCAGTTCTGACTAGCTGGTGCGTGGCAGCACCAGTGAAGCTCTACCTTCCCCCTTCAGGGCTCGTCTGTTCTCGAAGGAATCGAGAACCTTCCTTGTGCAGTGCTGTCTGACTTCCCAGCAGCGAGCAGCAAACTTGGGAGGCAACTCATTACCAACCTGGGATCCCCAGACCTACATCTCAGTGTGCTGAAAGCGAGGGAGGCAAAGAGCAATGTACAGTGTGGATGAGAGCTCAGCATCAAGAAACCAGAGAATGCTCTCTACGTAGCCAATAAGTAACGTGATAAAACAGAGGAAAGACTGAAATTGTCGAGGATTTTCCTTGGATCCACAATCAATGCCTGTGGAAACAGTAGATGATGTATCACATTGTGCTGACGTGCTGCAAAAGACTTCCCACGTGTTAAAAAGTTGTCACTTTGAGGAGTAATG